GTCATCATATCTATAAATATTCAGATATCAGTGGTGTTAGAAAATAAAGGAAAGACTGTTACAAAGCTAGACTTTAGGTTAAGTTTATTAAGCATTAGATTTACAGCCTGGGCAACATAGGGAGACTCCATTTCTGCAAAACAGAAAAAATTAGCTGGGCTTGGTGGCATTTGCCTGTGGTCTCAGCTACAAGGAGGCTAAGGTAGGAGGATTGCTTGAGCCTGGGAGGTCAAGGCTGCAGTGAGGTGTGATCTCACCACTGCATTTCCACCTAGGCAATAGAGCATTAGATTACTTCAAGTTCTTAAGTATATTTTAGGGATATTTGAAAGAGAGTTCTCCATTTCAGGACTCTTGCTTTTTTAAAAAAATTATGCAAACCACCTGGAATTAATGGGCATTGGGAAGAATAGTGAGACCAATTTTTAAAATCATCCAAATCCATATTCTAAGAGTTTTAAATTTGATATTTGAAGTCTTCATTTATTTATTTATTTTTAATTTTTAAACTTTTTTTGGGATGGAGTCTAGCTCTGTCACCCAGACTGGAGTGCAGTGGCACGATTGTAGCTCACTGCAACCTCCACTTCCTGGGTTCAAGCAATTCTGCCTCAGCCTCCCGAGTAGCTAGGATTAAAGGTGCCTGCCACCATGCCTGGCTTTTTTTTTTTTGAGCTGGAGTCTTGCTCTGTCAGCCTGGCTGGAGTGCAGTGGCACTGTCTCGGCTCGCTGCCAGCTCCACCTCCCAGGTTCATGCCATTCTCCTGCCTCAGCCTCCCGAGTAGCTGGGACTACAGGTGCCCGCCATCACGCCTGCCTAATTTTTTGTATTTTTAGTAGAGACGGGGTCTCACCATGTTAGCCAGGATGCTCTCGATCTCCTGACCTTGTGATCTGCCTGCCTCGACCTCCCAAAGTGCTGGGATTACAGGCGTGACCATCACGCCCGGCCAATTTTTGTATTTTTAGTAGAGATGGGGTTTCACCATGCTGGCCAGACTTGTCTCAAACTGCTGACCTCAGGTGATCTACCTGCCTCGGGCTCCCAAAGTGCTGGGATTACAGGTGTGAGCCACTGCGCCTGGCCCTGAAGTCTTCATATTTTAGTCTTCTGTCTTTTGGGAGGTACTTAACAAAAAAGAAATAGGAAAGGCATGCTTATGGAGAACAAGAGTATGTCTGTGCACTCCTGTGTGCACATGTCATTTGATTAAATTCTAGAGTGAAATTAGGTGTAAAAGCTAATTTACCTGTTTGCAGTAAAGGAGAATAGTAGAGTTGATGTTGAATTTTCTTATAGTTTTGGAGTGACTGCACCTCTGAGAATTGTTAAGTGCTGCTTTCAGAAAAAGAAAAAGGTTACTAAAGTTGACAGTGCTTATAACCCTAGCACTTAGTCCACTGCCTGGCACACGGTCCAATAAATGTTTATTGTATGAGTGACTAATCAGATCAATCCATATAATTCTAGTTAGACCCTTGGTAACTTAAAACAGTTGTACCGATGCTGATGTATATTAGTTGCTTTCTATGATAGTACTGCTTTGGGAATATATTTCAGTTCACCTTTAGTGTTTTTTTAATCTTAACTGAATGTGGGTTTTAGAAGGGTCTAGAGAGCCTCATTATATGGGGCTCTGACCTATGAGGCTGCTTGAAAGCATATATCCTTTCAACAACATTATCCAGTACAGAGGCTGCAGAGAATTTCAGGTATCCTTTGGGTTGCATTGAAAAGCCTATAGATTCTTCAAAGATGAGAGAAAATTACTCTTTCCCAAAACAGAGGACACTGGACAGTTTTCACTAATACTGAATACTAAGTTACTTGTAACGTATAAATTGAGTTTAATTTTATTGCTTTAGGTTTCTTTAATAATTATTTTCTTTAAAAGTGATTATGTAGGTCATTGATTATTGACATTCATAGGAGAACTCTAGGGGATGAATACAGTCAAGAGTTACATTGCTAGGAAGATTTAGGGTTGGGAAAGGCATTATGAACACTGTTAGGATTAAAATGAAAGCCCTTAATCTGGAAGGGGAAAACTGCTAAGTTATAGTAGTCACAAGATACAAAATTAGATCATACTATGCTAGCCTGCTACACAGATGATATTAGCTCTTCATTTGCCAGACTAAGCAGCTTGGAGTAGAATATAGAATATCTAACTTAAATTAGAACAGTTGAATTTCTCCTTGAGTCAAAACACCACAAAACGACAACAAAAAACATCTTTTCACTTATATTTTTATACAAGTGTATGTGTTTGTTGTTTAGTAGCAAGTGTGAATTGGATGAAGTATCTGAATATGAGATTTTTATGTGTAGTGAATTCATATTTTTATCTTTTATATTTTCTGACACCCTCCTCCTTTCATGAGTGTCCTTGAGCTGATACCTTGTGCCAGACATCCTGGAATATTTTAGAACTGTTGTGGAAAAGTGATGGTTTAACACACAGCTTTAGTTATGTCATGGTGTAAATTAAGCTCTTAAATGAAAGTGGCTAGCTTTTACAGATGGGCAGGCATGAATCTAGCTGAGAACAAATTGTTCTAATGTGATAGAGACATTCTTCAGACCTGCATGCGTCTGTCAACTGCCTACAGTGGCACAGTGAGATAAAGTGATCTGCAGTGTTTCTGTAATGTGTCCCTGTTGCTAGCCATCTTGTAACATATAGTACATCTTTTAGGCAGACAGCTTGTGTGGGCTGCATTCCACCTCAGCCTTGTAAAGATGCCAGAAGCATCAAGGTGAATTTTTAAAGCCTATTTTAGTATTTAGACTTAACTAATTTCAGTGAAATCTCTACTGTATCTAATAAAGTACTTGCTAGAAGTGAGATGAAATTTCAAAATTTTAACTTTTATTGGTTGTTTTGACCTTAGATTGACCAATTAGTAATCTTTCTATGCCTGTTTCCATATTGGGAAAGTGAGTATTTTAAAAGTATTTGCCTCATAAGATTGTTGTGTGGATTTAGCCAGTTAATATGTGTCAAGTGCATAGAAGAATGCCTGCCTTAATAAATGCTAGCCACCAATGCCGTCATTATTATTAACATAATTTGGGGTGAGATTAATTTCCTTTTCCTGAAGGTGGATTGCCTTTTTTTTTTGGAGCAGAGTCTTGCTTTGTCACCCAGGCTGGAGTGCTGTGGTGTAATCTTGGCTCACTGCAACCTCTGCCTGAAGGGTTCAAGCGATTCTCCTGCCTCAGCCTCCCGAGTAGCTGAGATTACAGGTGCATGCCACCACGCCTGGCTAATTTTTTAATATTTTTAGTAGAGACAGATTTCACTATGTTGGCCAGGCTGGTCTTGAACTCCTGACCTGGGGTAATCCACCTGCCTTGGCCTCCCAAAGTGCTGGGATTACAGGCGTGAGCCACCATGCCTGGCCTTTTTTTTTTTTTTTAAAGGAAGGCCACATCCCTATCAAGGATGTGGTCAACTTCAATTTTAATACAGAAGCTTACCATTTTGACTTGTGAAATATATCTTCGAATGTATTTACAGTTAAGGTATAATACATAATCACTACAAGGAATAAAGAAACTATATACTGCTATGGAATGGTCTAAGATGTATTACTGAGTGAAAAAAGCAAGGGACAAAATAATGTGTAAATTGTTCTATCATTTCTGTAAAACTTTGCTGTACATGCATAAAATATCTAGAAGTCTGCACAAGAAATGGCATATTTTCTTTTTTTTTCTTTTTTTTTTTTTTTTTTGAGACGGAGTCTCGCTCTGTCGCCCAGGCTGGAGTGCAGTGGCCGAATCTCAGCTCACTGCAACCTCCGCCTCCCAGGTTTACGCCATTCTCCTGCCTCAGCCTCCCGAGTAGCTGGGACTACAGGCGCCCGCCACCTCGCCCGGCTAGTTTTTTGTATTTTTTAGTAGAGAGGGGGTTTCACCATGTTAGCCAGGAAGGTCTTGATCTCCTGACCTCGTGATCCACCCATCTTGGCCTCCCAAAGTGCTGGGATTACAGGCTTGAGCCACCACGCCCGGCCGAAATGGCATATTTTCATTTGTTGTTACTGGGAAGGGGAATTGGGTGGCTGGAGACAAAAGTGGGAGACTTTTTACACTTTTTGATTATTGGACCATGTGAATGTATTCCCAAACTCGGAAGCTACACACACATATATAAATACACACACACGTAAAGTAAAATAGCTATTTTTAAATTGAGATATATTTTTATTCATCCTTTACAAACATTCTTTTTTTTTTTTTTTTCTTTTTTGAGACGGAGTCTCGCTCTGTTGCCCAGGCTGGAGTGGAGTACAGTGGCCGGATCTCAGCTTACTGCAAGCTCTGCCTCCCGGGTTTACGCCATTCTCCTGTCTCAGCCTCCCGAGTAGCTGGGACTACAGACGCCCACCACCTTGCCCGGCTAGTTTTTTGTATTTTTTAGTTGAGACGGGGTTTCACCATGTTAGCCAGGATGGTCTTGATCTCCTGACCTCGTGATCCGCCCGTCTCGGCCTCCCAAAGTGCTGGGATTACAGGCTTGAGCCACCGCGCCCGGCCACAAACATTCTTGTTTGTTTCAAATTCACATTTAATAGGACTTTTATTTTTTTTTTTTATTGAAAACATTTTTTTCTGAGACAGAGTCTTGCTCTGTCACCCACGCTGGAGTGCAGTGACGTGAACTCGGCTCACCGCAGCCTCCACCTCCCGGGTTCAAGCAATTCTCCTGCCTCAGCCTCCCGAGTAGCTGGGATTACAGGCATGTGCCACCACACCTAGCTGATACTTGTATTTTTAGTAGAGATGGGGTTTCACCATGTTTGCCAGGTGAGTCTTGAACTCCTGACCTCAGGTGATCCGCCTGCCTCAGCCTCCCCAAGTGCCAGGATTACAGGCATGAGCCACTGTACCTGGCCAAGAGGACTTTTAGTGTTTCTATTTAGTTTCTTTTTATTTTCTTTAGGTCTACTCTCCAGCACTAAACTAAAAATGACATTTTGTCCTCTTTCAGGGATTTGAGTCATAATCGGTTGTCTAACTGGAACATCAGCTTGGAATCACAAATGTTACAGGAAGTGTAAGTTATTTTTATTTATTTAAAGTTATGTTAAATTCCTGAGGGAACTTAATAAATTGTGATTTGCGGGATGTTCAATCCAGAGATGCCATAAAAAAATTGAAGGAAAAAATTAGTTAAAAGAAATAATTTGAAAACCTAAAATGTTTTGACTTTGTTATTATCAGACTGTCTTGGCATTGGGTTGGTGATTTCAAGTTGCAGGCTGTGGGGAAATATTTTACCTTCCTGCGGCTAAAAGTAAGATTTACACCTCTTCAGAGCAAATTATGTTTTGATTTTGGCCAAGTTTTCAGCCAGTGAAACTCTGTTGTATAACCTTTTTAAATGTCTTGACATGTTATGTAAGATTGGGAGCATCATGTCTAAAGTAGATTTATATGAAATAGAATAATCTTGATATCGTATGAGAATGTAATGGTTGATAGAATTCAGTTTTTCTCTTAACTAAAGTTTTTCCTTGAATACTGAGATGTATTATGTAATTTTGGAGGGAGTTTTCTAAGATATTATTAATATTAGTTTTTGCATCGTTACACTCTTAGAGCATTGTTACATTCCTAAAGGCACAACCATTAAGGTATGTAGGCCTATTTGCCTCTAGACTTAACACCCTCGGAACCCTGAGATTTACTTTCCTTTTTAATTCTTTGCTGACAGGGATACCTTCTTCATGCTCATTGTCTCTGCATTCTCTCCTCCTAGCCCCAAATTCACTGCTTCTAATGTGTTGTGGATGAGTACACAGTTGACAAGTTTGTTAGCTGAAAGAGTAGGCTCTGAGGAAAGACCTGAAAATGCTTCAGTGGGAAGTGCATGGGCTTTTTGTAACTTTGGTTGGTTTCCTGAAGGTCTTTAGTTCTGGTTTCTTTTCTGTGCTCTTTTGTTGAGATTGTTGAGGTTGTTCAATGACTAAAATCCAGGTTAATGAAATGTGATTGTATTAGATTTGCTACTAAAACATTTGAGACAATCTGTTTAAAGGGCTGCTGGGATTAGATGCAACACGTTATGTTATCTGTAAAATTAGTAATAGATTCCATCTCTGGGTGGGCTGATAAATTTCATCTGTGGTCTCAAGTAACTCTCTCTAACATTTGTATAGCTTCAGACTATATATATATACACACACACACATTTATATGTGTATGTTTATGTATATTTAGAGAAAGAGAGATCTGGATGGACTGATTATGCCTTCTTTGTTTAAGGACTCAAATTAGCTGTCGTAAACCCAACTTATTCAAAGAACTTTGCTTGAACTAACAATATTTAATGTGGAAAATACTTCGTCGCCTTTCTGATATTAATACCAATAGTAGATCAACACTATGAAAACACATTTCTTGGCCAGGCATGGTGGCTTACACCGGTAATCCCAGTACTTTGGGAGGCCAAGGTGGGCGGATCACCTGAGGTCAGGAGTTTGAGATCAGCTTGGCCAACATGGTGAAACCTGTCTCTACTAAAAATACAAAATTAGCCAGGCATGGTGGTGCATGCCTGTAATCCCAGATACTCAGGAGGCTAAGGCAGGAGAATCACTTGAACCCAGGAGGCAGAGGTTGCAGTGAGCCGAGGTTGCACCATTGCACTCCAGCCTGGGCAAAAATAATGAAACTCTGTCTCAAAAAAAAAAAAAAAAGAAAGAAAGAAAATAACTTTAAAATTAAATTTTAATTTAAAAATTAAAATTTCTCATTAAAACCTCTAATTTCTCAATAAGTACATTTTTATTTTAGTCTAACTCATTCTGAGTCATAATTATTTTTCAAATTTGGCACCTATTCTAAAGAATATGTGTTAGCCAGATGGTAGAATTCAAGAGGTAATATTTCCCTCACTAAACATTTAAATCTGTTTTTCCTCTTGCCTAGGAAAATGAATTACAATGAACTAACAGAAATCCCGTATTTTGGAGAACCAACGTCTAATATTACTCTACTTTCATTGTAAGTTAATAAGTTTTCAGGTTTTTTATTTAAATTATGAATAGTATACAGTTTTTTTTTTTTTTAAAAGCACATATATTGTTGATTCTAATTATTTAATGTTTTTGTGGCGTGGGGTGGATCCAGTGGCAGCAGCTTCATTATAATCTTTGTTTTACAGAGTCCATAATATAATCCCAGAAATAAATGCACAGGCGCTCCAGTTTTACCCTGCTCTGCAGAGTTTAGACCTCAGCTCAAATATAATATCAGAAATCAAGACATCTTCATTTCCTCACATGCAGCTTAAATACCTGTAAGTAACACAGATTAAATTAGATTTACTTTAAAGCACATGTTTATTATTCATCAGTACCTATCTTTTCAAAAGTATTTATTTATTGTGCTTTTTATATGCATATGTGAGACAAACCTAGGGTTGGTATACTGGGTGGTTGGCTTTGCCCACTCACCCCACAAGATCTAAAGAAAGATCGCACTATTGTCAGAAAATACTGGTAAATATCAAGGGTAATTTTGAGATTCGATTTTTTTGTTTTTTAAACCAAGCTTTCTAAAAGGTAAATAGAGATTTGTTAAACAATGGCTTACCATATATAATGATAATTAGCATGTGTGCCAGTGTTTTCCAGTTTACAGAGCATATTCACACATGCTGTTTTGTAACAACCTAAATGAAGTAGGTAGCCTCCATAGATGAAGAAACAGAGCATTTAAATGATTTATAAAGTTGTGGATAGTCATTAAGTGATAGCTGGGGGCTTATACATAGATATTTGTCAGCTTTCTAGTGGTAGAATTTTTATTTTACTAAATGTTTTCTTTTGCTATTATCTTGTTTATTTTAGGAATTTAAGTAATAACAGGATAACCACCTTGGAGGCTGGCTGCTTTGATAATTTATCGAGTTCCTTATTAGTGGTAAAGTTAAACCGTAACCGAATTAGCATGATTCCACCTAAGATCTTCAAGCTGCCTCACCTCCAATTCTTGTGAGTAACGAAATAGTTGGATTATAAAAGATAGTTGTTTTTTTTTTTTTTTTTTGAGACGGAGTCTTGCTCTGTGCCCCAGGCTGGAGTGCAGTGGCGCGATCTCAGCTCACTGCAAGCTCTGCCTCCCGGGTTTACGCCATTCTCCTGCCTCAGCCTCCCGAGTAGTTGGGACTACAGGCGCCCGCCACTGCGCCCGGCTAATTTTTTGTATTTTTAGTAGAGACGGGGTTTCACTGTGTTAGCCAGAATGGTCTCGATCTCCTGACCTCGTGATCCGCCCGTCTCGGCCTCCCAAAGTGCTGGGATTACAGGCTTGAGCCACCGCGCCCGGCTAAAAGATAGTTTTTTTGTTACAGGGTCTTTTTCTTTTTAATTTAATTACTGTTAGAGCATTTCAGCAAACCAATTTCCTGACTTTAAAACTATTTTTGTTAAAGGGAACTTAAAAGAAACAGAATTAAAATTGTGGAAGGTCTTACATTCCAAGGGCTTGACTCCTTAAGATCTTTGAAAATGCAGCGGAATGGAATTAGCAAACTTAAGGATGGAGCATTTTTTGGCTTAAATAACATGGAAGAACTGTAAGTACTCGGGACTAGAGGTGATTATTAGGAAAGTAGTCTGTCTGGGACTTTCCAATGTTAAATGGCTAGGATAGTTGTTCTGATTATAATTATAGAGATATGTTCATTCTTTCCCTGCTCACTGATGTGAAATAAGTGTACATACAACCTTTAAAGTTTTGTTAGCTAACTGATTATTTTTGAAATAATTCTTACAAACTTCTCATCTAAAAAGTTTATATTCTTTTTTTTTTTTCTTTTTGAGACGGAGTCTCACTCTATTGCCCAGGCTGGAGTGCAATGGCATGATCTCGGCTCCTGCAACCTCCGCCTCCCAGGTTCAAGCAACTCTCCTGCCTCAGCCTCCTGAGTAGCTGGGATTACAGGCGCGTGCCACCAGCCCTGGCTAATTTTTGTATTTTTAGTAGAGACGGGGTTTCTTCATGTTGGTCAGGCTGGTCTCAAATTTCTGACCTCGTCATCTACCCACCTCAGCCTCCCAAAGTGCTGGGATTACAGGCGCAAGCCACTGCACCAGGGCAAAAAGTTTATATTCTTAATGTTTTGGTTAATGAAAATTATCAGAATTTATCCAAATGGGTATACTATACCACTTGGCCTGTTGGTTTTGTAGAGCTGCTCTTTTAGACAGTCTTAGTACCTTCTAGCACTAAATCTTTTTATTTTATTTTATTTTATTTTATTTTATTTTATTTTATTTTATTTTATTTTTTAATGGAGACGGAGTCTCGCTCTGTCGCCCAGGCTGGAGTACAGTGGCGCAATCTTGGCTCACTGCAAGCTCCGCCTCCCGGGTTCACGCCATTCTCCTGCCTCAGCCTCCCGAGTAGCTGGGACTACAGGCGCCCGCCACTGCGCCCGGCTAATTTTTTCTATTTTTAGTAGAGACGGGGTTTCACCATGGTCTCGATCTCCTGACCTTGTGATCCGCCCGCCTCGGCCTCCCAAAGTGCTGGGATTACAGGCGTGAGCCACCGCGCCCGGCCTTTTTTTTTTTTTTTGAGATGGAGTCTTGCTCTGTCGCCAGGCTGGAGTACAAGGGGCGCGATCTCGGCTCACTGCAACCTCTACCTCATGGGTTCAAGCCTTTCTCCTGCCTCAGCTTCCTAACTGGGACTACAGGCGTGTGCTGGCACGCCCAGTTAATTTTTGTATTTTTAGTAGAAACGGGGTTTTACCATGTTGGTCAGGATGGTCTCAATCTTTTGACCTTGTGATCTGCCCACCTCAGCCTCCCAAAGTGCTGGGATTACAGGCGTGAGCCACTGCGCCCAGCCAAGCACTAAATCTTAAATAAAATATACATTTTTATTGAATAGAATTGGTCAGCTCAGTTGGGTTGAACAAAGATACATGCTTCTCTGGGAAAAACTTAAGATTTAAAGCTAGTTAATTGAACTGCCTTGTTTTGGAACGTATTTTCTTCTTTCTCTAATTCTGCAGAGAACTGGAACACAATAACCTTACACGAGTGAACAAGGGGTGGTTGTATGGCTTGCGAATGTTACAGCAGCTCTATGTGAGCCAGAATGCTATTGAAAGAATCAGCCCTGATGCATGGGAGTTCTGCCAAAGACTATCCGAACTGTAAGTGTTGGATAGCATTTCACTGGAGGCTGTGAGACTAGAGCAGATTGAAATAAATCATTCTCATGGACAGTAATGAGATATAACATCCCTCTTTACTAGAAATTTGTAGAAAGCTCTAAATTTACCATGTAGATATAATAAGAATTGTAAGTTGAACCAAATACAATGAATTCCTTACCTTCCACATTTCTTGTTTTCAGTGATTTGTCCTATAACCAGCTGACCCGCCTGGATGAATCTGCCTTTGTGGGTCTGAGCTTATTGGAGAGATTGAATTTGGGAGACAACAGAGTCACTCATATTGCTGATGGTGTATTTAGATTTCTTTCCAATCTTCAGACATTGTAAGTATATCCATTCTCTTTTTTGGTTGTTGTTACTGATTCTTTTAGTACAATAAAGCAAATTAATTAAAACAACTAATCAGTCTGCAAATTATGTATGCTAATATTTTGTGGTTCTTCTGTCCTGTGCCTCAGAGCAAGACAGTTTTGTCTCCATCTCCATAAAAATCCCAAGCCTGTAGTAGGCAATTCAGTTTGTAGTTTAATTCTGAGTTAATCCCATAAACAGCAAAGCATGTCTTATTGTGTTAGTTGCTATGGAATAAAACACAGTTGCTAGTGTCAGGAATGCAGTCATTTTCTTGTTCCTTTGAACTTGACAATACACCAGAGCTACTAGTTCTCATTCAAAAGGATGCAGGATGTGTAGAGGGAACTGCCGTGGTAGGAGACCAGTTCACTGTTACTGGTTTGCTACATGACTTTGGATGGAAGAAACTAATACTTATTATCTGATGTGTGCCAGGTGCTTTCAAATAGTAGGATGATACTGCTGTTTTCCATATTAGGAGGCTGAGGTTCAGAGAAATTTAAATAATTTTCTCAAAGTCACGTAGCTTATAAATATTGGGCCAGAATCAGATCCCAGGTCTGTTTGATGCTAAAGCTCATGCCCATTTTATCATACCACCAGAAGAACAAAATCACTTAGCTTTTCCTGGGCATCATTTTTTCTTCTCTTTTATACGGCGAAGGAAGGATATAGGATTAGATGGTTGCTAAAGGCAGTTTCCACGCTAAAATTCTGTGGTACTGTAAGTTACTCAATTTACAGAATATAAGAATATGTTTTTATGAACTTTTTGTATTTATATATAAATATATCTAATTTTAGAATATAATTTTACTAAATAAAGAGGTATTTTGATGAAATATAGTAGTCTCAAACACAGAGCAGAATAAAAGAAAACAAAGAGTAAGTAGTAGAATTTGTAGAGTCTTAAGTTTCCTGAATAGGGGACTTTATGGTCGTTAGGTTTTGAGTTGAAATGGTTCAGAGAAGAGGCAGGTTCCCAACTTGGAGACCTAACCATCAATGAGAGGGAAAGCAAGATAATTTTGTGAAGGGTATATGCATGCACAGGTGTGTATTTGATTTTTTTTTAACTTTCTTTAGATTTGGCCTTGAAAAATTAAAAGTGATTGTATTTTTCCTTTTCCTATATTATCAGAAGTGAAATTGGATCAATGCAATCTCAGAAACTTAGATGTAACTGCAGCCTTTTGGCAGTTGAAGGGGTCGCAAATAGGTTATTTTAGTATACCACTGATTATTACTGTTAGAATTAAAGTTTAGGGAAGTAATAGCAGAAGTAAATGGTTGTGTAATACCACAGAGATAGTTAAGACAGAATTAGGATCAAATCTGGGGAATTCTGGCTTTAGCCTCATGCTCTTGCCAGGGTAGATACAGTTCTTAGTTTGTTGAATGGTTTCTATTTATGCTGTGCTATGGAGGAGGGGGAAAGTCCTGAAGAGCTGAGCCATTGGTTCTTTCGTTATTTATTCCTTAGTAAAATAAAATGAGCTTTATTAGCTTTTCACTTAAAGAAAGCTAAGTGAAAAGAGGGATCTCCTCTTTACTGCTAATCACACAACTCTGCATGTCCCTTATAAAGTAGAAAGCTTTGTGCTTTATTATGAGATGACTTAAAGAAGCAAAAGTGATTAAATATTTTTAATTCTATGGAAATAATTATTTTATTATAACATGATGTGGTACAATTGCATTTCCTCTGAGAATGGAACAGTGAATTTTAGAAGATCCATAGTTTCCCTTTGAAAGAAAATCTGATGACACTGTAACACATGGGTATATCATTTTTGCTTCCCATGGGGCATCTTTAATTGCTCTTGAGCAGTGAAGCTCTGTATTGATATTACTCTTGGTCAGCCATTGTAAGTTTAAGGTCCCAGGGGAAGGCCTGGGTCACCCAGAAATCCCATTAGTCTGAAATCAGATTTATAAGCCATATACTCTGCATCTTGAAACCCTCCTCTTTTCAGGACCCTGTCTATACTTTTTAATATGCTAACATAATGAGGGACTCTTAGCTCGGAAGAGTAATACTTTTAGCAGGTTGCTTTATTTGTCAAGGCCAGCTTAATTCTTAACTTGTAAGAATCGGTTCTTACATGTTTATTACAGATATTTCTTAAGAAGCAGAGTTGAGCCTTCTTCATAAATAACTGTTAAAGTAAGGATCAGAATTAGCATGTGCACCTTGACATCACCATGCCAGGATGCTGCTCAATGTTATAATGGTTGTATTGACTATAGAACCTGTCTTTCTCTGACATTTTTGTAGAGACTTAAGAAACAATGAAATTTCATGGGCCATAGAAGATGCTAGTGAAGCCTTTGCTGGACTCACAAGTCTCACTAAATTGTATGTATTTATAATATTTATGTATGTCTGCATAGGCGTGTTTTCAAGAACCGACTGTAAATATGACTGAATTATGTTTATTTCATATGGCTAGAAAGTCTGAGCTTTCTGACACTCTGGGAGCTTTGTGGGTGTTTCTTTGTTTGTTTGTTATTTTGAGACCGAGTCTCGCTCTGTAGCCCAGGCTGGGGTGCAATGGCACGATCTTGGCTCACTACAACCTCTGCCTCCTAGATCCCTGTTCAAGCAATTCGCCTGCCTCAGCCATCTGAGTAGCTTGGATTACAGGCGTGTGCCACCGTGCCCAGCTAATTTTTGTATTTTTAGTAGAGATGGGGTTTCACCATCTTGGCCAGGCTGGTCTTGAACTCCTGACCTCGTGATCTGCCTGCCTCGGCCTCCCAAAGTGCTGGGATTACAGGTATGAGCCACTGCACCTTTTTTTTTTTTGAGACGGAGTCTTGCTCTGTCGCCCGGGCTGGAGTGCAGTGGCCGGATCTCAGGTCACTGCAAGCTTTGCCTCCCGGGTTTAGCCATTCTCCTGCCTCAGCCTCCCAAGTAGCTGGGACTACAGGCGCCGCCACCTCGCCTGGCTAGTTTTTTTTTTTTTGTATTTTTTGTAGAGACAGGGTTTCACCGGGTTAGCCAGGATGGTCTCGATCTCCTGACCTCGTGATCCACCCGTCTTGGCCTCCCAAAGTGCTGGGATTACAGGCTTGAGCCACTGCGCCCGGCCTTTTTTTTTTTTGAGACAGGGTCTTGCTCTGTCACCCAGGCTGGAGTGCTGTGGCGCAGTCACAGCTCACAGCAGCCTCAACCTCCTGGGCTCAAGTGATCTCCCACCTTGGCATCCTAAGGAGCTAGGACTAAAGGTGTGTACCACCAAGCCCAGCTAATTAACTTTTTTTTTTTTTTGTAGAGAGAGAGTTCTCACTATATTGCCCAGGCTGGTCTTGAACTCCTGGGCTCAAGTGATCCTCCCACCTTGGCCTCCCAAAGTGCTGGGATTATAGGCATGAGCCACCATGCCCAGCTAGTTTTTCTGTTTCTGTGTTTTTTTTGTTGTTGTTGTTGGGGCACTTTTTATTGAAAAAGCATTCCTATGGACACTTAAAGAGAAGTTATTTATAGAAGTAGAATTTCTATTCAAGTAAAAGGAATGCATTGAGAAAGTAATGTCTTGATAATCTGTTTAATTTGTAGTTTGTTTAATTGTATGAGATTTGTGAGTAATTTATCTAGAAGTAGAGCATTCTCTCACATAAGATTTTAGATCTTCTCCCATGAGAATAATTTCTCCAAAGGGTCACACTTGTCTGAATTTCTCTGACAATCTTTTGCTATGAATGGAGACATGAGGAATATAATTGAATTTAGCATCTGAAAATTACCAGTTTATCAGTGGTCAAGATGGTTGTTCACCTCATTGAGCTTTGATAGACGCCTTTATGCTATGTTTTACATTGATTAATAATTAAATTTCATAACTTTCTTAAAAATGCATGTTCTCATCAAATTGTACACGTTAAATATGTGTATTTTTTTGTATACAGTTGTACCTCAGTAAAGCTGTTAAATATACAAAAAAGTACGCTAAGCAAAAATAGGTAGATGTTTAATGAATTTAATTTTGTTTAGTGGAGATCTTTCTTACAAAGGTCTGTTTATATTTCAGAATCTTACAAGGAAACCAGATTAAGTCAATTACAAAGAAAGCATTCATTGGTCTTGAATCCCTTGAGCATCTGTAAGTATTTGTCATACATTTTGCTTACTCTATAAATAATCTTTGCTATTAGCAGAGGTTTTCATGACCATGTAAAGTGTTTATGTAACTTGATATAGAAATGGTGACTGATAATGTTTCATTTCTCTTTATTTCAGAGATTTGAACAATAATGCTATAATGTCTATCCAAGAAAATGCTTTTTCTCAGACTCATTTGAAAGAACTGTAAGTAACTTGTCTTTTTAAGATCACCAGTTGGATCATTGTTCCTGCTTGTTGTGCTTAAAGTGTGATGGGAGTGACCCAAGTTATTTCCAAAAGCACACGGTTCAGGCAGGAAGAAAGTATTAATACTCAGTTATTTTAGTGGCTAGAAGTAATTTAAAAATACCCAACACTGAAAAGCCCAGAGTGTGTGGCATCAAGACCTTCTGTTTTGCCTGTTCTACCAATGCTTGTAATTAGGAGACCTTAGCACTGCTCCTTATGCTTTATGTATAACCTACTGTTCCTTTTTGGATTATCAGAAATATGTGTTACCAGTTCTTAACACTTTGTGTGGGTTACAATAAAGGTATCAGGTAATTTTGTTTTATAGTTTCCGAGGTGATTTAACACTTAGGATAATTGTCAGAGAAGAGTCTCTAACCTGTTCAAACTACTAAAATGTCAAAATAGACAAGTGTGTATATGTACCCTTTTTCATTCATGAGTTTTAAAAATTGCTCTTACTGGTTTCGAGATTTCCCTAGGGGATTGGAAGTTAGTTGGGCATTGGTATTATTTATATTTATATATTTTATCTTTTTTTGGAGACAGAGTCTTGCTCTATCCCCCAGGCTGGAGTGCAGTGGTGTGATCTCGGCCCACTGCAACCTCTGCCTCCTGGGTTCAGGCGATTCTCATGCCTCAGCATCCTGAGTAGCTGGGATTACAGGTGCCTGCCACCACATCCGGCTGATTTTTGTATTTTTAATAGAGACAGGGTTTCGCCATGTTGGCCAGCTGGTCTCGAACTCCTGACCTCAGGTGATCTGTCCGCTTCAGCCTCCCAAAGTGCTGGGATTACAGGCGTGAGCCACCAGTCCTGGCCTGGTATTGTTTTTAAACTCTATTGATTCAAATATGCAGTCGGGTAAGAACCACTAGACAATAGAAATTCTTTTGCCTTGCCTGGGAAGCTACTCAAAGGATACTCTGTGGAGCAGAACTGGTTGATGACAAGATAAGGATAGAAATGCAGCTGGGCGCGGTGGCTCAAGCCTGTAATCCCAGCACTTTGGGAGGCCGAGACAGGCGGATCATGAGGTCAGGAGATCGAGACCATCCTGGCTAACACGGTGAAACCCTGTCTCTACTAAAAAATACAAAAAAACAAAAACTAGCCAGGCAAGGTGGCGGCCGCCTATAGTCCCAGCTACTCGGGAGGCTGAGGCAGGAGAATGGCGTAAACCCGGGAGGCGGAGCTTGCAGTGAGCTGAGATCAGGCCACTGCACTCCAGCCCGGGTGACAGAGCGAGACTCCATCTCAAAAAAAAAAAAAAAAAGATAGAAATGCAGAATAAGCATTTAGAAACTTTTAGAACAATTTGACATTACTGTGACACTTTTGTTGTAGTTAAAGTATTGGTCTGCAGTAGATTGGCAGTTTAAAAGACTGGTCCTTACCATGGATAATTTGAGATGCACTGGAAATGTGTGAGTTTTCAAACTGCGTAGGTTCAAATCCTTACTCCATTCCTTACAACTGTGTGACAGTGGGCCAACTGTTAGTCTAAGACTCAGTTTCTGTTCCCAGAATGGGGATAGCACCTCCCTCAGGGTTATGTGAAGATAAAGTGAGATAACTTGTTTACTCAAATATTTATTCATTATCTGCTATGTAGGATACTGTTCTGGATGATGAAAACAGTAGTGAACAAGACAGAGTCTCTGTGCTCATAGCATATTACAGTAAATCCTAGTGAGGAAGATAAATAATATACCAGTAGATATATAATATCTCATCAGGTAACAACTGAAGAAAAATAAAACTAGGTCAAAGGTATGGAGAGTGATGGGGATTGCTATTTTAGATAAAGTAGTGAGGGGAAACTCTTTTGAAGATACAGCATTTGAACCACGACCTTAATGAAATGGCAAACCATGTGAACACTGGGTGAATGGCTTCCCAGGCACAAGGAATAGGAAGTAAAATGAGTTTAGAGAGTTAAGCAGAGTAGAATAATTAAATATGTACAGTTTTTTGATATTAATCATCTTATTTCTCATTAGTCGTACTCTTCATTTGTTCCAGTATTTTTTTTTTTTTTTACATTAATTAATTTTTTTTTGAGGTGGAATCTCACTCTTGCCCAGGCAGGAGTCCAATTGTGCCATTGTGGCTCACTGCAACCTCCGCCTCCCAGGTTGAAGTGATTCTCCTGCCTCAGCCTCCTGAGTAGCTGGGACTACAGGTGTATGCCACCACGCCCGGCTAATTTTTTTTTTTTTTTTTTAGTAGAGACGGGGTTTCACTGTGTTAACCAGGATGGTCTCGATCTCCTGACCTCGTGATCCCCCGCCTCAGCCTCCCAAAGTGCTGGGATTACAGGTGTGAGCCACGGCATGTAGCCTGTCAAGATATTTTTCTTTTATCCCAAACTGCTTTGTTCTAACTTACCTTTTTTGTTGTTCTTGAAAAGCATATCGAATTTACAGTTTTATTAGGTCCAACAATAAAATTATGCTCATATTTTTCTTTTTAAAGAGACAGGAGGCAGATCATAATAGACCATGAGGAATTAAGATTTTTGCTTTTTGGAACGTACTAGGAAACGAGGGTTTTGAGAAAATGCTCAGCAGAGCTTGGCACAGAGTAGAAGTCGAGTAATGTTAACAATAAAGACTAAAATTAAAATGTTATGAAAATCATCATTAGTTATTTTCTGCCAGATTCTTAAAGTAGATATTTTGATCTGTTGAGATATTTTGAGTTATTTCTCATAGGCTTAGTTTAATTATAAGTTGCGACTTACTACAAATTAGTATACCCCCCGCCCTTTTTTTTTTTTTTTTTTTTTTTTTGGTCAGTGATAACCTGAGGGCCAGCAAGAAAGTTTTAAATGTTAGGAGAACTCAATTTAACATAAAATTTAAACAGTAGGTGAAAGCAAATATTGCAGTCGCAATCTTCAGAGAGTCATTTAATAATTTGGGAGTCGTGACAAAGATTCTTTGGTTAACCAACCTTTAGGCAAGCAAGCCCTTAAACCTTCTCCTAGGCCTAGCTGTGTAAAATCCAATTTTAGCACGAACATTGTAAAACCAGTTTAGCAAGAACTCTTCCGCAATGTAGACCATTCCCAGGTGATGTCTGATCACCCTGGCTTGTCTTCAGCAAGAATCCTTTTAGGGTTTAGCCAGAGTCTCCCTTTCTCTGGATGTTATTTTTTAGTAATTTCACATTCACTGAATGGGATGAAAGCAAACCCACCTTGCTCCTTGGCTATACTTGCCCTTGCTGTTTCCCTACTGTCTCTCCCTCACTGAGTTGAGCCCAGTCTCTCTCCCCAACTGCAACATCACATTGCCATGGTTCCTATATCTATTGAGATGATCCTGAATAACGTCTACCTTACCATGCTTTAACAAGTATCACTGAGTAATTTTTCATTTAACAGTTATGGTGCTGTGACTCCGATAGGATCAGATTCATCATTGGACCCCCAGACCTCTCACCCAGGACCCCAAGTGTGCACCTTTGAAGCCATTGTCTTCACTCCTGACTGATAGATCGGGGATCCAATGGTGAGTCAGACTATGAACCATTGCTCCGGACAAACATCCGTTGAAGCTGGTAAGGAAAGATTTCGATTCTCAAGACTGTGAATATATTCTCTGGAGTTGGGCTAGAGGCCAGGCTTCTTTTGAAAGGTACCTCCTGGGCTTGAAAGTCTTCCTGGCTCTCTTTCCTAAGTGGGGTTTATTCCCTGACTCCCTGGACTAAAAGTTCTTGGAACTCTGTGAGGCTACTCTGTTCTCTGTAATGGATCCTACTCCTCCCATGGCAATTTCTCTGGCATCTGAATCCCTTCTTTTTGAGCCCCTGCTAACTCTATTGCTCCACCACTCGTTCTGTCCACCTCCTCCTTATTGAACATTTATTGGCCTCTTTGGGATACTTAGGATCTCTCCAGACCACATCCTGTAAGCTCTCTTTCTTCCCATTGCTACTGCTCCTTATTCCTCCTCTTACCACCTTTAATGTTCCCTCTGGTTCCCTTAAGCCCTTTGATAAGACTCCCTTCAAATCCATCTGTCCACCCACTGCTAGACTTTTTCCTTCCCACTCTGGACTCTTAGTCACTGGGACTGTAGGCCCCCCACCCTCCTGGGAATCTCTCAGGGGACTTAGGGACTCCCAAAAGTAATGACTTGAGGTTGAAAAGGAAAAAGAATAATTGGAAATAGACTAAATATTTTATCTACACTCAGATGGGCTTTGGAGATATCCAGACAGCCCCTAGATGTTTCTTCAGCCTCCATAAGATTACACATGGCAAAAGAAAAATCTTTTTTTTTTTTTTTTTGAGATGGAGTCTCCCTCTGTCACCTAGGCTGCAGTGCAGTGGCATGATCTTAGCTCACTGCAACCTCCGCCTTCCAGGTTCAAGCAGTTCACCTGCCTCAGCCCCCTGAAGAGCTGGGATTACAGGCGCCTACCACCACTCCTAGCTAATTTTTGTATCTTTAGAAAAGAGGAGTGACCTCGTCCAATTTATGTTTTCTTAGGTATACTGTAAGCTGGACTCATAAGACCTGGGCTCATATCCTAACTCTACTATTTATTTTATTTTATTTTATTATTATTATTTTTTAGATGGAGTCTCGCTTTGTCACCCAGGCTAGAGTGCAGTGGCATGATCTCGGCTCACTGCAGCCTCTGCCTCCCAGGTTCAAGAGATTCTCCTGCCTCAGCCTCCCAAGTAGCTGGGAATACAGGCTCATGCTACTGCGCCCAGCTAATTTTTTGTATTTTTAGTAGGGACGGGATTTCACCATCTTGGCCAGGCTGGTCTGGAACTCCTGACCTTGTGATCCACCCGCCTCGGCCTCCCAAAGTGCTGGGATTACAGGCTTGAGCCACCGCGCCCAGCCTCTACTATTTATTTTAGACATAATCCTGAATGCCCCCAAAATCTCAGTTTCCATTTCTAGAAAATGGAATTGAAAATGCCTACCTCAGCCGGGTGCGGTGGCTCACATCTGTAATCCCAGCACTTTGGGAGGCCGAGGCAGGCAGATCATGAGGTCAGGAGTTTGAGACCAGCCTGGCCAATATGGTGAAACCCTGTCTCTACTAAAAATACAAAAATTAACCAGGCATGGTGCCATGTGCCTGTAGTCCTAGCTACTCAGCTACTCAGGTGGCTTGAACCCGGGAGGTGGAGGTTGCGGTGAGCTGAGATCTCGCCACTGCACTCCAGCCTGGGTGACAGAGCAAGACTCTGTCTCAAATAAATAAATAAATAAATAAATAAATAAATAAATAAAGTATTCAGCACAGTGCCTGACCACAGACAAAACTTAATTCACAATAGCTCCCTTCACTTCTGTTTCTTTTGTTTCTTTCCATTCTTCATATACTAACCAAACCCTGACCACAAGTACTTAACAGAGTATAAGGTATTCTCTCAACAAGTGTGTGGATAGATTATACTAAAATATTTCCAGTGGTTTTCTTTGAGTAGTGAGGATTTGGGGGGCTTTCTCTCCCTCTTGGTTTAGTGGTACTTTCTAATTTTCTACTACATAATTTTAATGGAAAATGTTTTAAAATTTATATGCAACTTTTTCATACACCTCTTATTATTGATGCAAAGCCTTGTGGGGAATACCAAAAAGTATAAAGAGAAGAGTTTAATAAATGTTGACCTAAAAAGTATTATAAATATGACTTTTAAAGTAACCAAAAGCTTTTAAAGTAACCAAAAGTAACCAATTGTTTACCAACAATTCTCAGTAAAAAAGTTCCATTAGATCCAGGTGTGGTGGCTCATCCCTGTAATCCCAGATACTCAGAAGGCTCAGGTGGGAGGATCCTCTGAGTCCAGGAGTTAGAGACCAGGCTGGGCAACACAGTGGGTTCTTGTCTCAAAACACAGTTGCATTAAAGTTCCTGCAATAGCAGTTTGTTCAAACCAACTGTTAGAGAAGAAATTACTCAACGAAGCTTGTTAAAGCATTATAAAAGCATAGTAATCTTTGCCAGTGCCCCCTTGTTTAATAACAATATAAGTCAACTTTGAACAATCGAACAATGTAAGTCAATTTTTTTCATTCTTAGAATTGAAACTTTGCCAGGCGTGGTGGCTCACACCTGTAATCCCAGCACCCTGGGAGGCCGAGGCAGGTGGATCATGAGGTCAAGAGATCAAGACCATCCTGGCCAACATGGTGAAACCCCATCTCTACTAAAAATACAAAAATTAGCTGGGCATGGTGGCACACACCTGTAGTCCCAGCTACTTGGGAGGCTGAGGCAGGAGAATCGCTTGAACCCGGGAGGTGGAGGTTGCAGTGAGCCAAGATTGTGCCACTGCACTCCAGCCTGGGCAACAGAACAAGACCCTGTCTCAAAAAAAAAAAAAAAAAAAAAAAAAAAAAAAAAGTTGAAACTTCTGTGGAATCAGATCTTAGATACTTTATTCAAATATTAAACTTGATGAGGATTTTATCATGTACATAAAGCAAGTTCTCAAAATCATTTACTTTCCCTGCTTCTAAGTGGATGGGATATTTAAGGGGTCATTGAGAGAAAATACTGATTTTTCAGATATGTTTTACAGGGTTATAAACCACAAATACTTTTTCAGTGCTCTTAGTTTAGATTGCATTACACATTCCCACAGTGCTGAAGTGGTTTTTTGTTTGTTTGTTTTTGGGAGACAGAGTCTCAATCTGTTGCCCAGGCTGATGTGCAGTGGCGTGATCTCGGCTCACTGCAACTTCCGCCTCCCGGGTTCAAGCAATTCTTCTGCCTCAGCCTCCCAAGTAGCTGGGATTACAGGTGCCCACCACTATGTCCAGCTTATTTCGTATTTTTAGTGGAGACAGGGTTTCGCCATGTTGGCCAGGCTGGTCTCGAACTCTTGACCGCAGGTGATCCTCCTGCCTCTGCCTCCCAAAGTGCTAGGATTACAGGAATGAGCCACTGAGTCTGGCTTAGTGCAGAAGTGTTTTTAGTCTTCATGAAATAATTTGACAGTAATTATATGCTGTCTACAACAGAGATCTCTTGATGCTCCAATATATATAGTGTTTCCCAACACTTCCATGAGAAAAAATTTAAACCTCCAAAATTTAAAGGAAGGTACAATTAACACCATATACGCTTTATCTAGATTCACTGACTGTTAACGTTTTGCTAAATTTGTTCTGTTTCCCTCCCTCTTCCTCTCTCTCTTTTTTTTTTCTTTTTTTTGAGACGGAGTCTCGCTCTGTCGCCCAGGCTGGAGTGCAGTGGCGCGATCTCAGCTCACTGCAACCTCTGCCTCCCGGGTTCACGCCATTCTCCTGCCTCAGCCTCCCGAGTAGCTGGGACTACAGGCGCCCACCACAGCACCCGGCTAATTTTTTTGTATTTTTAGTAGAGATGGGGTTTCACTGTGTTAGCCAGGATGGTCTCGATCTCCTGACCTCATGATCCGCCTGCCTCAGCCTCCCAAAGTGCTGGGATTACAGGCGTGAGCCACCGCGCCCGGCCCTCCTCTCTCATTTTAGCTCTTGCTCTCTCTCCACGTACACACAAATATATATATATACACATACACAGGTTTTTTGCTGACCATTTAAAAGTTGCAGCCATGATGACACTTCACCTCTAAATATCTCAGCATGTATTTTTTAAGAACAAGTACATTTTCTAATGAAGACATCACCATTACCACACCCAAGGAAATTAACATTGATAAGATAATATTAACTAATACACAGTCCATACTCAAATTTCCCCAATGTTAAAAAAAAAAAAAGTCCTTCGTAGATGGTTTTTTTCAATCAAGAATCACACATTTCATTTGATTGTAATGACTCTTTAGTCGTCTTCAGAATAGATCCCTGGCCACCCTTGTTTCCCTCTCTTTTTTTAGTGTCTTTCATGAGGTTGATACATTTAAAGAATTTTGCCAGACAGTCTCAATTGGTTTTCTCATGATTACATTTATGTTGAATGTTTTTGGCAAGAATAATGGATAGGTGTGTGGTAAGGTTTTAATACTGAAGACGTTTAGAACAAAAAGTAAAACAAAGGATGCTTTTCCTCTTTTCTTTCCTGCAGGATTCTGAACACAAGCAGTTTGCTCTGTGACTGCCATTTGAAGTGGCTACTTCAGTGGTTGATTGATAATAACTTTCAACATTCTGTGAATGTAAGCTGTGCACACCCTGAATGGCTAGCAGGGCAAAGCATCCTGAATGTGGATCTGAAAGATTTTGTCTGTGGTTTGTATTTTTGTTTTAAAATTTTATATATTACAGACTTAATAATTTTAACAGAATTAAAAAAAATAAAACCAGAATGATTTTCCACTAGCAATTTTTGTAATCATACAGTTTTAATTGCCATTAAAAATGATCACAGGCATTTTAATGAATGAAGGCTTTTCTCTTTTAGGGGGATTGTTAACCTTAGGTTAGGTATTTGGTAGTCAGATTCCTGAATCAAGCAATATGAGTTTTTTTATATGAACATTTTTAGTGGATCTTGAAAAGTGCCACCAGGTACTTTCTATTTTTTTTTTTTTTTTTTTTTTAGAAGGAGTCTTGCTCTGTTCCCCAGGCTGGAGTGCAGTGGCGCGATCTCAGCTCACTGCAAGCTCCGCCTCCCGGGTTCACGCCATTCTCCTGCCTCAGCCTCCCAAGTAGCTGGGACTACAGGCGCCTGCCACTGCACCACCTAATTTTTTGTATTTTTAGTAGAGGCAGGGTTTCACCGTGTTAGCCAGGATGGTCTCGATCTCCTGACCTCGTGATCCGCCCGCCTTGGCCTCCCAAAGTGCTGGGATTACAGGCGTGAGCCACCGCGCCCAGCCCCAGGTACTTTCTAAAAAGATAGCACTAGTTTAAAGTTGTCACCAGCAGCGTATGAATATACTGATTCTGTGTGTTTCATATTTTTTATGCGGTTTCATAACATTAAAGTGGCAGAGTTGTGTTTTTTCTTTGAGGGGAGAGAGAGAGTCATAGACAAGTTGTCCTGATTCTAGCACGTATACTTTCAAATACACTTTTTTTTTTTTTTTGAGATGGGGTCTTGCTGCGTCACCCAGGCTGGAGTATAGTGGTGTGATCTCGGCTCACTGCAACCTCTGCCTCCTGGGTTCAAGCGATTCTCCTGTCTCAGCCTCCTGAGTAGCTGGGATTACAGGCGTGTGCCACCATACCTGGCTAATTTTTGTATTTTTAGTAGAGACGGGGTTTTGCCGTGTTGGCCAGGCTAGTCTTGAACTCCTGACCTCAGGTGATCTCCCTGCCTCTGCATCCCAAAGTGCTGGGATTATAGGTATAAGCCACTGTGCCCAGCCAATTTCAAGTATACTTCTATATTATTCCTTCTCAATTTGGAAATTTTTCCTTTACACTTAAATTTCCTTTAGGCTGGGCATGGTGGCTCACACCTGTAATCCCAGCACTTTGGGAAGCCAAGGTGGGTGGGTCACCTGGGGTCCGGAGTTCGAGACCAGCCTGGCCAACATGGTGAAACCCTGACTCTACTAAAATACAAAAATTAGCTGAGTGTGGTGGCACACACCTGTAATCCCAGCTTCTCAGGAGGCTGAGGCAGGAAAATTGCTTGAACCAAGTTGGAGGTTGCAGTGAGGCAAGATTGTGCCACTGCATTCCAGCCTGGGCGACAGAGTGAGACTTTGTCTGAAAAAAAAAATTTTTTTTCTTTAAAGTGGAATGACTGATTCTTAGCTTTACATAGGAGACCTTTTAGCTCAGTGTATCTATGTTGCATATCCCTAGAGTATCTCTGATCATTTGAGTACCTATATATATTGCCAAATCTGTTTTCACAGTGTACTTAAAGATGGTTGGAACAGAACACACACTTGGAAGTTCGGGCCCACAAAATACATCCATTGTTTTTACAAATTTTAAAGAAGAGAACAGAATCTAGTAAAGGTTAAATTCTGCTGACATTGCCACACAATCCCTTTTTACTTAGTTTTAAATATAGACATACTATATATTTTTTCCTCCCCTTCCACTTACTGCTTTTATGGCACAATGAAATGTTATCCAGTGGAGATACTGGTTAAGATTTATATACCTGCTTCTCTCAGTCAGTCCAATAACATTATTAATTATGAATCTATATTTTATTAGCTAGTCCTAAGCCAATCTTCAGTTGGACATTTGACCTATTTGGATTTTTTTCACTGCTTTAGGTGAAACCTGTGCACATACAAAATGCTTTCAAATAATTTGTTTTATTAGGTATTCTCTGTGAAATATAAATCATTCATAAGCTCCCCATTTTATATTGGCACAGAAAGAATAATGGTTTTTTATATATATATATATATTTTTTTTTTTTTTTTTTTTGAGACAGAGTCTCACTCTTTTGCCCAGGCTGGAGTGAAGTGGCGTGATCTCGGCTTGCCTCCCCACCCTGGGTTCAAGTGATTCTCCTTCAGCCTCTCAAGTAGCTGGGATTACAGGCGCCTGCCACCTCGCCCGGGTAATTTTTGTGTTTTTAGAAGAGATGGGGTTTCGCCATGTTGGCCAGGCTGGTCTCGAACTCCTGACCTCAGGTGATCCACCCACTTTGACCTCCGAAAGTGCTAGGATTACCGGCATGAGCCACTGCTCCTGGCCATATACACGTTTATCTATCACATACATATATACAAGGGGTAATAGTAGTAGAACTTGTCCTGAAACCCTAATATAAGGTTTCTGTTTTTCCCCAATAAGTGATAATGCTTGAGAAATACATTCCGAGCACACAGTTGACAGTAAGGGCTAGTAGAAAAGTGCTGGATCCTGAAGTCAGGAAACCTGAGTTCCAGTCCAGGCTCTGCCACTGACTTGACATGTCTTTGAGCAAGTCATTTGAATTTTCTGGGCCTCATTTCCCCCATCTTTAACCAAGGGAATTGGACTCTAGCTCTGTGGTCTCTTTAAACTTTAATATGCCACTTTGTAAACAGAACACACAAATTTATAGTATTTGTTTTAAAATTTAAAGCAAAAATATATAACTGACTTGGCTGCGGATGCATTTTTTTCCCCTTAGATGATTTTCTTAAGCCACAGATAAGGACACATCCTGAAACCATAATTGCTCTAAGAGGCATGAATGTGACTCTGACGTGCACTGCAGTGAGCAGCAGTGATTCACCCATGTCCACTGTGTGGCGCAAAGACAGTGAAATCCTGTATGACGTGGATATTGAGAATTTTGTTCGTTATCGGCAGCAAGCTGGAGAAGCTCTGGAATATACTAGTATCTTACATCTTTTCAATGTGAATTTCACAGATGAAGGAAAATATCAGTGTATTGTTACTAATCACTTTGGTTCTAATTATTCTCAGAAAGCCAAACTGACTGTAAATGGTAAGGAATTATGCTCCTTGATTATTTTTTAGTTTAGAAGGATTTTTCATGTTCTGTTTTGAATCACTTGAGAGAATTAGGCTAAACCTGACATTTAAGCAGGACTCTTACTGTCTTTTGAGTTGTGATAACGTGTCAAGTGGGTGGGATTTTTGGATTAGTCAGTCTGCCCACTTATGGTCTCTAACTGGTCTTTGGTTGAAGGGTAAATGCTGTGGCCCTAAGAGATAAGCTGTTTTCACTGCTGTTTATGCTTTTGAAGACATTCTCAGTTTTCATTCCAGAACCATAAATCTCTCTTGATAACTATAAAATTTATTCCAGATGGGCCTTATAATAACTGGGAATATCTGGGACATTTTTGGGTCTAATGGTCATTATCATTGTCTAAATGTAGTTACACAGGATCATTTGTGTGTTTGTGTGTGTGTGTGTGTATTTTTATTTATTTATTTAAATTTCTCTTTTTTTTTTTTTTTTGAGATGGAGTCTCATCTCACTCTGTCACCCAGGATGGAGTGCAGTGGCATGATCTCAGCTCACTGCAACTTCTGCCTCCCAGGTTCAAGTGATTCTCCTGTCTCCTGTAATTCCGAGTAGCTGGAATTACAGATGTGCGCCACCAGGCCCACCTAAATTTTGTATTTTTAGTAGAGACGAGGTTTCACCATTTTGGCCAGGTTGGTTTCAAACTCCTGAGCACAAGCGATCCATCTGCCTTGGCCTCCCAAAGTATTGGGATTACAGGTGTAAGCCACTGCACCCAGCCTTATTTCAGTACCTTTTGGGGGTACAAGTGAGTTTTTTCCCCATGGATTATAGTGGTGCATTCAGAGAATTTAGTGCACCCATCACCGAGTAGCATACACTGTATCTAATGTGTAGTTTTTTATCCCTAGCCCCCGCTCACCCTCTCCATTCTGAATCTCTAAAGTCCATGATACCACTCTGTATGCCTTTGTGTACTCATACTTAGCTCCCACTTATAAGTAAGAACATACGGTGTTTGGTTTTCCACTCCGCACAGGATCATTTTAAAAATGAATACTCTTCTTTCCTGCAAAAGCTTCTCAAAAATAGCTTGATTTATCTATTGCGTATCAAATTGAATAACTACAACATTTTAGGCTTTGTGCAACCAAAAGATGTACTTATGTTTCGCTTCTGTTTTTTAATGATACTTTTGAAGGCATAAGTTTTTTTTAGCATGCAGTTTCCTTGATAGCTTTGTAGATGTTGGTTTGGGCAACATCTTTTGTTTTTGAGATGGAGTCTCACTTTGTCACCAGGCTGGAGTGCAGTGGTGTGATCTTGGCTCACTGCAACTTTCACTTGCTGGTTTCAAGTGATTCTCCTGCCTCAGCCTCCCAGGGAAGCATCATTTAGCTTTATAAGTGAGGGAATCATGGTAAATATCAGGTTCTAAAATAGGAAGTTCAAGAAGGTTTGTGGCCTTCTGCTTTCCCTAGTTCCAGCTGATGATTAAGTGTATCATGCATCCTAGAAGACACAGTTATCAGTGTGCTCCAAATACTCTGAGGTTCTGGAAGAAGAGATGGCCTCAAAACCATATTCACTCTTGGCTGGGTGCTGTGGCTCAGGCTTGTAGTCCCAGCAATTTGGGAGGCCAAGGTGGGAGGATAGCTTGAGGCCAGGAATTTGAAGCTGCAGTGAGCTATGATTGCGCCACTGTACTCCCACCTGGATGGCAGAGCAAGACCCTATCTCTAAAGTTTTTGTTTTTTTTTTTAAATTTATAAAACTATATTCACTCTCAATCAGAGAGCTTGTCTTCACAAAGAAATGGAACATTACGGGGTGTTTTGCGTACTAGACTCTTTCATGCCTATTTGTATACATATATGTGTCTTTGTTCCCCTGCCCACTTTTTCTTGGTGGTCTTTCTGGAAACAGAGATGCCATCTTTTCTGAAAACGCCAATGGATCTGACTATTCGCACTGGTGCCATGGCCAGATTAGAATGTGCTGCAGAGGGACACCCTGCACCTCAGATTTCCTGGCAGAAAGATGGTGGTACTGACTTCCCTGCGGCTCGAGAAAGACGCATGCACGTCATGCCCGAAGATGACGTCTTCTTTATTGCCAACGTGAAAATAGAAGATATGGGAATCTATAGCTGCATGGCACAAAATATAGCAGGAGGTCTCTCAGCAAATGCTTCCCTAACAGTGTTAGGTACGTTTACTGTTTCATGGGTCCCTGCTTTTTTTGGAGTCTTTGGGAGCTACTCTTGGTCTTAACAAGCAAGAAAAATAAGTTTGAGATTACCTCTCTGATTCTTAGATCTTTATCTTATTTCACAATTTTATGCGGGGTTATGTCAGTCTAGGAATTAGTAGGTCAGATAACTGAAATGTGGGAAAATACATAGGGCAAAATTAGGTAGGCATCCTTATCACAATAATTGAAAGTTCAAATTCCTTTATCAACTTACTTTTTCAAGTCCCTCACTGTAAGGTTTCTATTACATGTAGGTGTGTTTACTATTCAGTGAGTTTGCATTGAGAGTTCCACTGTTCTCTTAGGAGTATCCCAGCCATTTAATGCTGCTTCACTTATTGCTTGATAGGAACCTAAGACTAACTGTTTGCTCCTAGTTCATTTTCAAAAAAAATTAAACAAACAAACAAAAAATGTATTTTCTAGTTAGAGTGTCTGCTTTCCTTTTCAGTGTGTTCTTCTTAACCCTATTTCTGGTAAAATGCCTTTTTTCCTAAACATTTCTCCTGGCTAGCCTAGGTTTTTTGTTGTTGTTATTGTTTGTTTTGTTTTTTCTTCCTTGTTATAATACTTTTCTTCATGGAACTCAAATCCAAGGTAAATTCTACTTTCCAGTTCTGTATTTTCCTAGATGTCAGTTATTATTATTATTATTAAGTTTGTTGGTTTGTGTTACTTGTATAACCAGAAAAATAAGAAGCTATTTATTTATTTATTTATTTATTTTGAGATGGAATCTCACTCTGTCGCCCAGACTGGAATGCAGTGGTGTGATCTCGGCTCAGAGCAACCTCCACTTCCCGGGTTCAAGCGATTCTCCTGTCTCAGTCTCCTAAGTAGCTGGGACTACAGGCACATACCACTGCGTCCAGCTAGTTTTTGTATTTTTTTTAAGAGATGGGGTTTCACCATGTTGGTCAGGCTGGTCTTGAACTCCTGATCTCGTGATCTGCCCACCTCAGCCTTAGAAAATAAGTCATTTATTGTTTTAGCATGTTAAGATATACAGAAAATGAGGAAAAGGGGAGGAAAGTCACTGAGACACTGAGGGATTTTAGCATATTCTAGACTTTCCCCTCTCACTTTTATGTAGTTAAATATACCTACATTTTTTTCATTTAATATTGTACCACAAGTTACCTTGTTATTAAAGTCTTTGTAAAATATCATGTGACTATACTATAATTTAATCATTTTTCTGCTAGGTTTTAAAATATTTTTATTCTTTAAAATTACAAATTTTGTAGTAAACATCTTTGCATATAAATCTTTGAATTTCATTTTTTTTTAAGTTATTTATTTTTAACGGGTCACCCCTGCTCACCTCCTCCAGCTATTGCAGCTGCCCTGAATTTCTTATTTAGGATAGCTTGCCTAAGCTGGAATTACTGAGAAACGATTGAGGCTTTTTTCAGGATTTTGTTCTGAAACATTAACTTCTAATCCTCCTATGAGTATATAAAATTACTCATTTTATTATACCCTCATTGATCTAATTCAGTAGGAATTAGGGAATAAAACTGCCTAACTTTTCATTTTTTTTTTAATGTTTTCCTGTTAGAGACACCCTCATTTATTAGACCCCTGGAGGATAAGACAGTAACCCGAGGTGAAACTGCGGTGTTACAGTGCATAGCTGGAGGGAGTCCTGCACCTCGTCTCAACTGGACTAAAGATGATGGGCCTTTGCTGGTGACAGAACGACATTTCTTTGCTGCAGCCAATCAGCTTCTCATCATTGTAGATGCTGGGCTAGAAGATGCTGGGAAATATACCTGCATTATGTCTAACACCCTTGGGACAGAACGTGGCCACATTTACCTAAATGTCATGTCATCCCCCAATTGTGACTCTTCCCAGAGTAGCACTGGGCATGAAGATGATGGCTGGACTACAGTTGGCATTGTCATCATTGTTGTGGTCTGCTGTGTTGTTGGCACTTCTTTGATCTGGGTCATTGTTATTTACCACATGAGAAGGAAAAATGAAGACTATAGTATCACAAACACAGGTAAGTAGTACCCACATTACACCTATGGCTTGTACTTGAGTCAAGAATGTAGTATAGGATTAATTGTACAGTATAAAAAACAGAGCTGGTCATAGTAGCACATGCCTGTAGTCCCAGCTACTCAGGAGGATGAGGTGAGAGGACTGCTTGAGCCCAGGAGTTCAAGGCCCATCTGGGCAACATAGCGAGACCTCATCTTCCCCTCAAAAAACTGAAGAGCTGTGATACATTACCTGATATGTGATGGAAGGGAGTTTTTGTTGTTAAAATGTTCATCTTCTTTGATATAACAGAACCTCTTTGAGGAAAGAATTTTGTTTGTTTATTTGAGATAGGTTGTTACTCTAATGCCCAGGTCAGAGTGTATACGGCTCACTGCAGCATTGACTTCCCAGGCTCAGGTGATTCTCCCATCTTGGCCTTCTGAGAAGCGGAGACTATAGGCATGTGCCACCGCACCTAATTTTTTGTATTGTTAGTAGAGTCAGGTTTTGCCATGTTGCCCAAGCTGGTCTCGAACTCCTGGGCTCAAGCAGTTTGTCTGCCTTGGCCTCTCAAAGTGCTGGGATTATAGGCATGAGCCACTACGTCTGACCAATTTTAAGAATTTGTAAATACTTTTTTTTTTTTTTTTTTTGAGATGGAGTCTCACTCTGTTGCCAGGCTGGAGTGCAGTGGCATGATCTCGGCTCAATGCAACTTCCACTTCTCGGGTTCAAGCGATTCTCCTGACTCAGCCTTCCAAGTAGCTGGGACTACAGGCGTGTGCCACCATGCCCAGCTAATTTTTGTGTTTTTAGTTGAGACGGGGTTTCACCATGTTGACCAGGATGATCTCAATCTTTTGACCTTATGATCTGCCCGCCTTGGCCTCCCAGAGGGCTGGGATTACAGGCGTGAGCAACCATGCCTGGCCAAACTTGACTCTTAAAAACGCATTACAGATGCATTCTCTTTAATGGCAAAGGCTCCTTTTCATCATAATTTTGCTGTAAAGAAGAATGGATCCCTTGCGATTGAGATCAGTCTCTCTTTTTTTTCCCTTGAATATCAAACTGGATTGTTGAGGTCAGTCTTTTACACCTCTCACCCTGAAATCCTGCAAGAAAAGAAATCTAGTCAGATAGATTATGAAAGTGTGGCAGTAGAAAAGAAATCTAGTCAGATAGATTATGAAAGTGTGGCAGTAGAAAAGAAATCTAGTCAGATAGATTATGAAAGTGTGGCAGTAGATAAGATTTCAACCTTTAGGTTTTGTTTCTTTTGGTGAAACTTTGAGAAGAATTCTAGTGAGAAATAGTTTTAGGGGAAGTACCAAGAGCTGTCGGGGTCCTAGGTACATACAGTTTTTCTTGCTAATAGTATCCAAGTGGAACACATTTGCAAAACAGTCTTCTGAGTGTTGATTTCAACTGCCTACCTTTGAGAGTTAAAAATGTCTCTTTTGCAGAGGAGCTCAATCTGCCTGCAGACATTCCCAGCTACTTGTCTTCCCAAGGAACGCTGTCTGAGCCACAGGAAGGCTACAGCAACTCTGAGGCAGGCAGTCACCAGCAACTTATGCCTCCTGCCAATGGATATATACACAAAGGCACTGATGGTAATGACTCTGTTGTTTATGGTTACAATTTCAGCCTCATCTATTGAGTTTATTTTTCAGTGTGTAGTTTCTCCATTAATCTGAAGCAATATTTTAAAGTAAGATACCTAATGAAAGCATTTAGCCACATGCAAAATAGGATGAAAATTGACTGAAGTCTTAACAGGATAAGAAAATCATCTTACAGAGTGGAGAAACACATTAAACAAGAGATTAGAGTACACAGCAGAGGCTCCCAAACTTGTGTAATTATAGGAAAGGGATGTTCTGGAAACTTTTTTCAGGTATCTCTTTCTTACCCTTTTCAGGCGGGGGCATCCTTCAGACCACATCCAAGGAAAGCTGGTTTCTCTTCCTGACAGGTAGACATTCAGTAAAGTTTAAAGGGTATCTAAGAGCCAGGCATGGTGGCACGCCTGTAGTCCCATCTATCCATGAGGCTGAAGCAGAAGGATCGCTTGAGGCCAGGAGTTTGAGACTATATCATGCTGTGAGCACACCAATGAATAGCCACTGTACCCTAGCCTGGACAACACAGCAAGACTCCCTACCTCTAAAAAAATCAACAAAGGGTAGCATTGGTTCTCAGCATATATCAGAGAGATGTAAAGAGTTCTCTAATTAAATGAACCTACATCCCAACATGTAGAGATGCGTACCCATACACAGAGCTCTTCTCCCTCCACCCTTTTCATACCCTCACTCCCATAGGGAGTGACAGAACTGAATGAATTAAGGGACAGAAGAATTGGGTTTGACTGATACTTCTTCCTTTTTCCAGCTCTGTAACCATGAACTAGTTACTTAAGATCTGAGCTTTACTTTTCTAATTTTTAAACAAAGAAACAATAGTTTGTAAAGCACTTCCCCCAAGATTCTCACAGATCTTTTCAACAAATCTTTGTGGTACTTCAAATACTATACAAATGAAAGATATATTCCATTTCTTCAGATACTTTTTTAGACTGAGTGTCAACAGAACTTTATCTAATTGATAAATGGGATTTTATTTTGGCTTTTCATGAAAAATATAGTAGTTCTGACTCTTTTCTTGTTTCTGAGAAAGAGTCTTACTCTGTCACCGAGGCCAGATGCAGTGGCACAATCTCAGCTCACTGCAACCTCCACCTCACAGGTTCAAGCAATTCCTCTGCCTTAGCCTCCCGAGTAGCTGGGATTACAGGTGCGTGCCACCATACCCGGCTAATTTTTGTATTTTTAGTAGAGACAGGTTTCACCACATTGGTCAGGCTGGTCTTGAACTCCTGACCTTGTGATCTGCCTGCCTTGGCCTCCCAAAGTGCTGGGATTACAGGCGTGAGCCACCGTACGTCGCCAGCATTTCTGACTTTTAAAAGAATACTTAAAAGTCTATTCTTTGAAATATGTGGGAAATAACACTGCTTTCTGGGTTAAACTAAATTACTTTTCACTCTCTTCCAGTTCTAACATTCTGTTGCGTGATTTTGTTTGTTTTTTTGAGACAGAGTTTCATTCTTGTCACCCAGGCTGGAGTGCAATGGCGCCATCTCAGCTCACTGTAACTTTTGCCTCCCAGGTTCAAGTGATTCTCCTGTCTTAGCCTGCCGAGTAGCTGGGATTACAGGCACCCACCACCACGCCCAGCTAATTTTGTATTTTTAGTAGAGACAGGGTTTCACCATGTTGGCCAGGCTGGTCTCAAACTGCGGACCTCAGGTGATCCACCTGCCTCGGCCTCCCAAAGTGTTGGGATTACAGGTGTGAGCCAGTGCTCCTAGCCTGTTGCATGATTTTGAATAAGTGACTCACTCTATTTCTCACTCTCTCTTCTCTCCTTCATCATTCAGTTTTCAAAGCACATAATAATCCAGGGAGTTCATTATTAAACCTATACTTCTGTCAACCATGTACTTGTCAGGCAGGACTCCTCATTGTCAGAAGCTTTCTCTAGGGATGCTTGTAGCAATTGGTGTTACTTAACCTCTTGACTCATGAAAGTAACATGGTTTTTCATGAAGTGAAGTCATCATAACTCCTTATTCTCTGACTTAGTTTGCTTAAGCCAAGCATGTGTCTTGTTGCACAGTACCAGCCTTATCTTGCTCCCTTGATTTGGGCATGATCTATCCATCCACGATAGAGATGTTTCAGTGTAGTTTTCAAGAGCATGGGCTCTGGAGCCAGAATGGCTGTTTCTGCTCCTCACTCTGGCAGTATGACTTTGGTTAAGTTACTTAACTTCTCTGTGCTATAGTTTACCCTGTCTGTAAAGTGGGGATAATAATAATACCTACCTCATAAGGATGTTGTGAGGATTAATGAATCAATTCACAGAAAGGGCTTGAAACTTCACCTACTTTATAAATTAAGTGCTCAATACATGCTAGCAATGATGATGACAACCGCTGAAGAAAACTGATGATTGGCAAAAAATAATTCCTTACCAGAAAGATATTTATTTTCTTGTTATTAGGTGGCACTGGTACCCGGGTGATTTGCTCAGATTGTTATGACAATGCCAACATCTACTCCAGGACCCGAGAATACTGTCCATACACCTATATTGCTGAGGAGGATGTTCTTGATCAGACACTGTCGAGCCTCATGGTCCAGATGCCTAAAGAGACATATTTAGCTCATCTTCCCCAGGATACTACTGCCCTAGAGAGCCTGATATCGTCAGCTGACGGAGAGCCATCTGCCTTTCCCACCAACCATGAGAGGATAAGTGAGAAGAAACTTCCGTCCACACCGATGAGTGGTGGTAAGGGATGCATTTTTGTTGTTATTTTGTTTTTACTTTCGTCTAATTGACTCTTCCTTCTGTCATATAGGTAGTGCTCTCATTTGACAGGAAGCAAACGGATTGGTATATAGGAGTAACTGGCCATTGTTAAATGGTGTAAACTATAGCCAGAGATTTCTACATACTAGAGTTACAAAGAAGTCTTCATCTATAGGATGGAAACAACTTTTGTGGGGGTAACAAGATCACACTACTAAAAATTGAGAGACCACACACAAAAACGTTTCATACAGGATATTTATTTATTTGAGACAGAGTCTCGCTGTGTTGCCCAGGTTGGAATGTAGTGGCGCAATCCCAGCTCACTCCAACCTCTGCCTCCCGGTTCAAGCAATTCTCGTACCTCAGCCTCCCAAGAAGCTGGGACTACAGGTGTGCACCACCACACCCAGCTAATTTTCGTATTTTTAGTAGAGATGGGGTTTAACATGTTGGCCAGGCTGGTCATGATCTCCTGACCTCATGTGATTTGCCTGCCTTGGCCTCCCAAAGTGCTGGGATTACCGGTGTGAGCCACCACACCCGGTATCATATAGGGTATTAATTTTTCTCCCATCTTTATTTAAATAAAGAATAAAATATGGGGGGCTGGGCACAGTGGCTCACACCTGTAATTTTAGCATTTTGGGAGGCCAAAGCGGGTGGATCATTTGAGGTCAGGAGTTTGAGACAAGCCTGGCCAACATAGTGAAACCCCGTCTCTACTAAAAATACAAAAATTAGCCAGGTGTGGTGGCGGGCGCCTGTAATCCCACCTACTCAGGAGGCTGAGGCATGAGAATTACTTAAGCTCAAGAAATGGAGGTTGCAGTGAGCCGAGATCGTGCCACTGCACTCCAGCCTGGGCAACAGAGTGAGACTCTGTCTCCAAAAAATAGTAATAATAAAATTTCGGCATAATTTGGTGATGGTTTTTACTGAGAAGATTTTTTTTTTTTTTTTTTTTTGGAAATGGAAGTTCACTCTTGTTTCCCAAGCTGGAGTACAATGATGCGATCTCGGCTCACCACAACCTCCGCCTCCCAGATTTAAGCAATTCTCCTGCCTCAGCCTCCCGAGTAGCTGGGATTACAGGCATGTGCTACCATGCCCAGCTAATTTTGTATTTTTAGTAGAGATGGGGTTTCTCCATGTTGCTCAGGCTGGTCTCGAACTCCAGACCTCAGGTGATCCGCCCACCTTGGCCTCCCAAAGTGCTGGGATTACAGGCATGAGCCACCGTGCCTGGCCTACTGAGAAGATTTTTTTTTTAATTTGAGATGTATTCTAGCCCTGTCGCCCAGGCTGGAGTCCAGTGGCGTGATCTCGGCTCACTGCAACCTCTGCCTCGCAGGTTCAAGCGAACATGTTTTGTTTTGTTGCTGTTCTAGTAGGTAAACATTTAATCTCAGCTTCACTTGGCGGGTGTTTTCTTCTATGAGGTACGATCAAGGTCATAAGTGAGAATGCAGTTTTGGGCTTGTGTCCCCTGTCTCACATGGCCCAGGAAAAGAAATATACATTATACTGTATAGATTAGGCGTTTGATAACCACTTGGCATTTGAAACAAAACTCTTTCTAGATCATGGAGAGTAATGCTGAGCATGTCTTCCTGTCCATCCAAGCTTTTCATCAGCTTTCATCCTTCTGTCAGCCTGACATGCAGGAGCACTGGAATAGGGTAGGAGGTCCGGCTGGGTGCAGTGGCTCACTTTTGTAATCCCAGCACTTTGGGAGACCGAGGCGGGTGGATCACAAGGTCAGGAGTTCGAGACCAGCCTGGACAACATAGTGAAACCCCATCTCTACTAAAAAAATAAAAAATTAGCTGGGCATGGTGGTGGGTGCCTGTAATCCCAGCTACTTGGGAGGCTGAGGCAGGAGAATCACTTGAACCCGGGAGGCGGAGTTTGCAGTGAGCTGAGATTGAGTGATTGCACTCCAGCCTGGACATCAAGGTGAGACTCTGTCTGAAAACAACAAAAACAAAGATACGGTAGGAGGTGAGAACTACAGGTTTCCAGAGGAAGGCAAAGTATACTGTGATACTCCTGGGGATAGTTCTGGCAGGAGTGAATTATCTAACTTTTTTTTTTTTTTTTTTTTTTTTTGAGGCGGAGTTTCGCTCTGTCGCCCAGGCTGGAGTGCAGTGGCCGGATCTCAGCTCACTGCAAGCTCCGCCTCCCGGGTTCACGCCATTCTCCTGCCTCAGCCTCCCGAGTAGCTGGGACTACAGGCGCCCGCCACCTCGCCCGGCTAGATTTTTGTATTTTTTAGTAGAGACGGGGTTTCACCGGGTTAGCCAGGATGGTCTTGATCTCCTGACCTCGTGATCCGCCCGTCTCGGCCTCCCAAAGTGCTGGGATTACAGGCTTGAGCCACCGCGCCCGGCCAGAGTGAATGATCTAATGTCCCACGTTCGATTATGTCCCACAGGTTACAGGATCATGCTTCTGATTTTAGTAGGACTTGGAACATTCAAGATGGTAGTGAGGGTACATGAAACTCTCTTCAGGATGAAATCTGGCCAGAGACTTATTAATTTTGCATTTACTACTTCATGTCCCACATTTTACTTCATGTCCCACATTAGATCATTTACTCCTGCCAGAACCATCTGTGAAAGTGTCTAAGATATGCTCGCTTTTTTTTTAGATACAGAGTCTCGCTCTGTCGCCCAGGCTGGAATGCAATGGCACGATCTTGGCTCACTGCAACCTCCGCCTTCCATGTTCAAGCGAGTCTCCTGTCTCAGCCTTCTGAGTAGCTGGGATTAGAGGTGCCCACCACCACACTTGGCTAATTTTTTGTATTTTTTAAAAATAGAGACAGGGTTTCACCATGTTGGCCAGGCTGGTCTTGAACTCCTGACCTCAGGTGATCCACCCACCTCAGCCTCCCAAAGTGTTGTGATTACAGGTATGAGCCACTGCACCCAGTCTCTGTTTTTTGTTTTTTTTTTTAAGATACGGAGTCTCGCTCTTTGCCCAGGCTGGAGTGCAGTGGCTGGATCTCAGCTCACTGCAAGCTCCACCTCCCAGGTTTAGGCCATTCTCCTGCCTCAGCCTCCCGAGTAGCTGGGACTACAGGCGCCCGCCACCTCGCCCGGCTAGTTTTTTGTATTTTTTAGTAGAGACGGGGTTTCACCGTGTTCGCCAGGATGGTCTTGATCTCCTGACCTCGTGATCCGCCCGTCCCGGCCTCCCAAAGTGCTGAGATTACAGGCTTGAGCCACTGCACCCGGCCTGTTGTTCTTAAGAGATTAAAGTCTTCCAAAGAGGTTACAGGTCAGAGGAAAGCACCATTTTTTTTTTTTTTTTTTTTTTTTGAGACGGAGTCTTGCTGTGTCGCCCAGGCCGGAGTGCAGTGGCCAGATCTTGGCTCACTGCAAGCTCCGCCTCCCGGGTTCAGGCCATTCTCCTGCCTCAGCCTCCCGAGTAGCTGGGACTACAGGCACCCACCACCTCGCCCGGCTAGTTTTTTGTAATTTTTAGTAGAGACGGGGTTTCACCGTGTTAGCCAGGATGGTCTCAAAATCCTGACCTTGTGATCCGCCTGTCTCCGCCTCCCAAAGTGCTGGGATTACAGGCTTGAGCCACCGTGCCCGGCCGGAAAGCACTATTATTGAAGCACTATTATTATTGAAGTTAAATCTCTTAATCTTTACATTAAGTGTTCATGAAAGAAATGCATCAACAGTAAATCCACTTTAAGTTGGATGTCTTAGAAGAGTTAACACAAAAAGGGTTTAAGAAGGACCAGAAATGTAGTCCATCTTTTTTCTAACTTTAGGGATGCCTTAATTTTTAAACTGGTCCGTAAGTAAGGAAATCAGCAAATTAAAGTGCTTTGGCGCATTGGCCATTTTTTACTTAGGGTATCCTAGCTGCTTCTTACTCAAAGTCAGGTCTATTGACTATCAGCATCACCATTACCTAAGAGCTTGTTAGAATGATCCCAGCGCAGACCTAGCAAATCAGAGTCTACATTTAACAAGATCCTCAAGTTATTTGTGTGCATATTAATTAAAACTTGAGAAACCCTGATCTAGCTTACTTTTCACATGGATTCTATTTTTTTTCTGGGTATTTGTTTTTATAATGTTTGGCTAGCTTTTTCCAAAATGCACCCATGAAGTTAATATAATTTTCAGTAAACAGTCTTTGGGAAAATAGTTCACTATTGTACTAAAGAAGAATGAGAAATGCGTATTTGAAACCAGTGTGCAGATAATTTGATTTAATATAGCTCCTTTGGCTATCATTTGTTGTTAGAATTGTTGACATGCTAGGTGTTGGAAGGGAATGGCCGTTTATTTTATTTTATTTTTTTTTTTTTTTGAGACGGAGTCTCGCTCTGTCACCCAGGCTGGAGTGCAGTGGCCCGCTCTCTGCTCACTGCAAGCTCCGCCTCCCGGGTTCGCGCAATTCTCCTGCCTCAGCCTCCCGAGCAGCTGGGACTACAGGCGCCCGCCACCTCGCCCGGCTTATTTTTTTGTATTTTTAGTAGAGACGGGGTTTCACCATGTTAGCCAGGATGGTCTCGATCTCCTGACCTCGTGATCCGCCCGTCTCGGCCTCCCAAAGTGCTGGGATTACAGGCTTGAGCCACCGCGCCCGGCCCATGGCCGTTTATTTTTAAAACAATTTTGTGACATATTTAAAGATGTAATGGCTGCACTGAATCAATGATTATTGTCTATCATGAAACTTTCATTACAATATGGATACCGTTTTGTCTTTTAGTTCTTTTCCATGTGTCTAAAGAGTTTTATTTAAAAATTTTGTGGCTGGGCACAGTGGCTCATGCCTGTAATCCCAGCACTTTGGGAGGCTGAGGCAGAGAGATCACATGAGGTTGGGAGTTCGAGACCAGCCTGGCCAACATGGAGAAACGCCTGTCTCTACTAAAAATACAAAATTAGCCGGGCATGGTGGCACATACCTGCAATCCCAGCTACTTGGGAGGCTGAGGCAGTAGAATTGCTTGATCCCGGGAGGCGGAGGTTGCAGTGAGCCGAGATCACGCCATTGCACTCTAGCAACAAAAGCGAAACTCCATCTCAAAAAAAAAATAAAAAATTTTTGGCAACAGAACCACTAAAATAACAGGTGAAAGTACATGATATATAGTATGATCTCAGTAAATAATTGGTTAGGTTTGTGAAGTAGAGGGATTTGAAAGACCATGTTCTGGTGGTGGTGGTGGTGGTGGTGTGTGCGCGTGCACGCGTGCGCACGTGTGACTGTATGTGTTTGATTTCAGTGTGAAAGTACATGATATATAGTATGATCTCAGTAAATAATTGGTTAGGTTTGTGAAGTAGAGGGATTTGAAAGACCATGTTCTGGTGGTGGTGGTGGTGGTGGTGTGTGCGCGTGCACGCGTGCGCACGTGTGACTGTATGTGTTTGATTTCAGTGTGAAAGTACATGATATATAGTATGATCTCAGTAAATAATTGGTTAGCATGCAGGTGGAGGTGGTGGTGGTAGGTGGTGGGGGTGGTAAGGTAGGTGGTGGGGTGGTGGTGGTGGTGGTGGTGGGGGTGGGTGGTGGTGGTGGGTGGGGGGTGGTGGTGGTGGTGGGGGTGGTGGTGGTGGTGGGGGGTGGTGGTGGTGGGTGGGGGTGGTGGTGGTGGTGGTGGGTGGGGGTGGTGGTGGTGGTGGTGGGTGGGGGTGGTGGGTGGTGGGTGCGCTTGTGCGCGTGTGACTGTATGTGTTTGATTTCAGTGTCCTTATTCAGGAATATTGAACATCTTTATTTCTTTGAGGATTTGGCTAAAAGGATATTGTTTTACCAGTCACTACTGATAATTCTTGTCTTTCATTCTCAGAAACATTGCAGCGGCCCGTCTGGAACATAAACAGAGAACTAGGCCTGCCTCATCCTCCTTTTTCCCAGCAGCCAGTCCATGAGTCACCACAACTTCATCAAAATGAGGGCTTGGCAGGGCTGGAGCCAGACTGTTCCGCTTCTTCCATGTCCTGCCACAGGTTACAGGATCATGGTTTTGTTTTTAGTAGGACTCGGAACATTCAAGATGGTAGTGAAGGCACATGAAACCCACTTCAGGATGAAATCTGGGCAGAGACTCATTAATTAATTTTGCATTTACTACCTCAGAGCTCAGAAGAAACTCCGAAGTCAGCATTTGCTTTACTCTTTCTTTATGATTGCATCTGACTGCACCAAGGTGGGCCATGCGTTGTTTGGTCTTATATCTGATGAAGAAATGGTAACAGCTGACAGAAATGGGTACAGCTCATCAAAAATGTGCAGCATCGGCAGAGGGAAGATACGGGGCAAATGTGCTTCCTGATGGTTCCATGGGGATGTGCCCCAGTGTGCATCTGCCTGTCAGAAGAGTCACATTGCTGCTTACCCTGCTGGATTGCCCTAGTCTTCAGAATGGTCCTGAGAAAACATCACTACTTTGATGTTCTGCTTTGCCTTCCAAGGAGCAAAAATAACTTTGGAGCCTTGTGGGAAGTGTGCCTGGGATTCTTCAGTGGTTTCAGGCAGATAGTTGAGACTGGGGCTTTGATATTCAAGGTCTTTGGCAAGAATCCCAGACTTGACCAACTGGTACCAGGTCAAAGGTTTTTGTATTCTTGTGAATTTTTTTTTGTCCCTATTGCCCAGGGATGTCACTGTAAATATATGTACATTTATAAATAATTTTTGTATTCATTGACCATATGTGTTGGCTGCAATGTAAATATTTTTGATATGCCAAAATTATATATAATATTCAGTTATAATATTGACAAGTAGCTTCTCAGATCACAGATTTTAAATAACTTGATTTAATGATATCTAAAAATTTTATTTAAAGTATAAAAACTGTGGCTCACACCTGTAATCCCAGCATTCTGAGAGGTTAAGGTGGGAGGATTGCTTGAGGCCAGGAATTTGAGACCAGGCTGGGCAACATGGTGAGACCTTGTCTCTGCAAAAAATAAATTTAAAAAATAGCTGGGCATTGTGGCATGCTGTTGTTGTCCTAGCTACTTGGGAGCCTGAGGTGGGAGGGTCACTTGAGCCTGGGAAATCAAGGCTGCAGTGAGCTGTGTGAAGCCACTGCACCCCAGCCTGGGTGACAAAGCGAGACCTGGCTCAAAAATAAATAAATTAAATAAATAAAAAGTTTTAAAAACTTACTTGTTAAGAAGTGTATCTATAGAGGCAGCTGCTTAGTGATTGTATACACATAAACACAGTCTAGGTGTAATTAACTGCCTTCTTCAGGCCTAGAGGTTCATACTTCTGGTCATTTGCCATCTGTTTAAAAGTGCTCGGTGATACTCCCTTTCTAACATAAAAAGCTTGTTCTTTCGGAGCCTGGCAGTCCTGTCACAGCTGTATGTACCTAGAGGAAAACTCGTTTGGAAATTCCTTTCATTTCCTTCCCCTCTCGCTCCCCACTTCCCTCTTTTTTTACTGAAACAGAAATTGATTGAGGAAAGTTCAGTCATTCCTTCAGAAACCAGTGAGTTAGATCGGGTTGTTACTTTATGTATAATGAATGCTTCAAAAACTGGAGGCTGATTTAAAGATTGCAGAACTTGAGTCAGAATCATAAGCAGTACTGTGACATGACCTGGAGCCAGAACAGTTGCTGATATCAGAACCATCTCTTTCAATCTGTGACTTTGCTCTTGCCATGTTCTGACTGGGGTGAGCCGCTAGGATATAAATCACTATCACTGTCCGTATTTGAGTCTGCACATCTTGTCATTATTTGCTTTAATGCTCTTTGAGTTGCAACAGGTGTATTAAAGAGTATTTGAAATTCTGTGAATAGGAATTCTGTTGGTAGTGAAATAGGTTCTCACACCTGCTTGCTCAGAATGTGAAAATATTATTTCTGAGTCCTCGTTGTTCACTTTCTAAAGTGACTGTTGTTTGGTGTTGGAGTTGTTAACTGGGTTCTCTTAGGCGTGCTATATCTTGGCAAATATTCTCCATGATGAACTCTTCCTACTATCACAGCCAGGACTATGACTGGATTTCTCAGTCTCAGTGCCCCAGATTCACCATTTCTGATTGTGTCTGGAGAATGTTCTCCTGGAAAGGTATTCCATGTTCCAAAAGCTGCAAAAAGACGCCCACTTTGCAACTATGGGTCAGTTATTTACTCTCTCAATGTCTCATGTTGCTGAGTTCTAGAAAATCTCTGTCTCATTTACCAGGGGTCATTCAAAAGTCTGAGATGGTGTATTGTCATGAAATATTTGTGAAATTTCTTACCGTGAATTAGGAGGCAACCTACTTTTGTTTCTCGCTCTAGTTCTCCATTGGTCTGGCCTCCTGCTTCTCAGTCTTCTCTGACCTCTGGTAAGTGGAACTTTCATTAATACTTCTGTCGCACTTTGTACCTGACCTGGGTGGCCTTGCAAATGTTGACTCAGATTGTGGATTTTCCACTTTCTTTCTTATTTTTTAATTATACTTTAAGTTCTAGGGTACATGTGCACAACGTGCAGGTTTGTTACATATGTATACTTGTGCCATGTTGGTGTGCTGCACCCATATTTTCCCACTTTTTCCTCTGACTGTTTTCCTCATTTTCTCCCCTGGGAAGTCTTGCAGATGATGCATATTTATTTGCTGTATTCAGCCTTCCATTATTAAGGATAAAATTGATCCCTACATTGAATCTGAAATTACCACTATGTGGATTACTCTGACTCACTGCTGTCCAAGCTTGGTTTTCTCTTTGCTCAGTTCCTGTCATATTTTCAGTTTGTTCAAAAGAGATAAGCCACTTTATTACAGACTCATTACTAGTACTAGACATTATCCACCTCTACTTTCACCTGATTCTTGTGGGGAATCCTCTTTAATTTGTTGTAACCTTCTCAGCAACTCTTCTGTACTTCACCTATAATGCCTAGCAAATTGTTATCACTCATAAGCCTGTAATCTTCATCACTCAGATTATTTGCGAGTAGAAATCTGCTGGAACCAATTGGTCCATCTGACTTCTGCACTGGGCCACATCCATCTTCTTCATTGTCAGAATCTGAGTTTTCTGTCTTGGAGAACAGCTGGAAAGTTGTCTGGCTGTTATGACACAGTATGGAAATACCAGACTGAGTTTTAGTTGTTTCTAGTTGTGTTCACTTTGTGCTTTCTCTAAATGGGAATATCTTCTTTCAGCGAAGTTCTTCATTGACCAGGAAACCAAAGATTGCCTCTTAGCTGAGTTTGTTTTGTTTTTAATCTTTTACCAGTGCACAGTATATCTTAAGAAGGGAAGAGTGCTCTTGGGAGTAGATGAACATGCAAATATTCTGTTTTTTTTTTTTTTTTTTTTTAATTTGAGATGGAGTCCATCTCGGTCGCCCAGGCTGGAGTGCAGTGGCATGATCTCGGCTCACTGCAACCTCTGCCTTCCAGGTTCAAGCAAGTCTCTTGCCTCAGCCTCCCGAGTAGCTGGGATTACAGGCACACCACCATTTCCGACTTTTTTTTTTTTTTTTTTTTTGTATTTTTAGTAGAGATGGGGTTTCACCATGTTGGCCAGGCTGGTCTCAAACTCATGACCTCAGGTGATCTGCTCTCTTTGGCCTCCCAAAGTGCTGGGATTACAGGCATGAGCCACTCGCCCAACCCCAAAATTTTTATACTGTAAAGCCTTGGAGTGGTCCTTGTTTTGTATAAGTGATTAAGCCAAAAAGTTTTCTTCAATTTCTATACCAAAGAGCTTTAGGTAAATAAAGAACTTCATACTCTAATGCAATGTAATTCCTTCTTTGTGCTTTCAGATTTCCTTACACAAGCTGTCCAGTTCCCTTCTCTAAATCCAGTATTACTAGATAATTTCAGCCACTTAAATGTCTATTTTTAAGTTCTTGTTCAAGGGTTCTAAACTCACAATTTCTCAAAACTTTTTGCCAGAAAGTTGAGCATTTATTCTTATTTTCAATCCTAAGTGTTCATCCACAGGCAGCAGCCCTTCTTGAGCTGTTTAGTACTGCCACACCTTTTTCTTTAATATGTCAGCCTCTGATCATTTTCACTTTGAACTTTTTTTTTTTTTTTTGAGACGGAGTCTCGCTCTGTCGCCCAGGCTGGAGTGCAGTGGCCGGATCTCAGCTCACTGCAAGCTCCGCCTCCCGGGTTCACGCCATTCTCCTGCCTCAGCCTCCCGAGTAGCTGGGACTACAGGCAGCCGCCACCCCGCCCAGCTAGTTTTTTGTATTTTTTAGTAGAGACGGGGTTTCACTGGGTTAGCCAGGATGGTCTTGATCTCCTGACCTTGTGATCCGCCCATCTCGGCCTCCCAAAGTGCTGGGATTACAGGCTTGAGCCACTGCGCCCGGCCTTTGAACTTCTTAAAGATCACAATTTCCTGTCCCTTCAATCTGCGATCCCTCTTCTTCCTTTCTTACTAGATTATGGTGTAGTCTGTACTAGACTGACTCAGAATTTAGACCTCGTTCGCTTCCTGACTCTGCTTGTTACTAACTTTGTAATCAAGGGTGAGTCTTTTTCTTCTCTAGGCTAGATTTTCTCATTTATGAAATGAGGACATTTTTCTGTTTTTTTTTTTTTTTTTTTTTTTTTTTTTTTTTTTTTT